TAATATACGTAAAAAAAGTTGGATGTCAACGGCACGAATAAAGTTAAATCAAAAATCGGTATTACTTCGCCATTTTTTGATGGTATGTTGAATTGCGGAGTACAAAAAATGAAAACAAATAAAAAATCAAATCTGCCGTTGAGAGCTTACAATGCATGAAGTTATGTGAAATGCTATAGCATCACGTTGAAAGCGTACAAAAACTCGAAAGATGATGACAGAATTGAAATAGTTATTATGCGAATAAGAAAGTCGACGAAAGTGTGATACTTTTTGCTATGTCGTACATTCGTCGAAATGTATTTTTTACACTCAAAATGTATGAAAATAATTTACGTCATCATTTGTTAGGAAAAGGGGAGCGAATAAAAAAAGCTCTTACAATATCGAAAATAGCTTTTAGTTTATCGTGCCAAAAATACAACAATGGCCAGAAACATCCGAATATCGAAGTTTCAATTCACCGATTTTGTGCTACAGTAGAGAATTCTTACGTAACTGTGCTGTGTGCGGGCACGAGTATGAGTTTGTTTCGTCAATTTTCTTTCGACTCTTGTAATTCTTGTTTATTTGTTTTATTTGAATTATTGAACTTTCGTGCAATCGTTGTCTCCATCTTCGATTCGCTTGCCGGAAGATTGTCAGTCACATTCTTTCATTTTCTTCTGCAGTTCGATTTCTTTCCTTCTGCAATTGGCTTTTGTTTTTTTTTTCTCTTTGTTTTATTTGTGCACCATTTTTTCTTCGTGCTGTTGTCTTCACCGAAGCGTGCGATGCTTAAAGTCAAGGTAGTTATATTGTATAAAGTGCTGAATGTTCAATGATTTAGTTCTTCTATCGATTCGATCCAATTCTTTGATCAGAAATCGACAAAATAACGACACAAACAATGCCAATGCTTTGAATGTGAATGCGAAGAGACAATAAAAATGGTACACACGAAATGAATCGAAAATTGATGTGTGTCTCATGCAATGAAATGCTACGGTACAGCCATTTTCAGATACATTTGACAATGATATCGTCTGACATGAATACAGATACTTTGAAAGCAATCGGAGACACAACGACTGATAAAGTGAAACGAACAGTCGAGCGACAGTCAGGCAACATACAATGTACAATACGAGCAAAATATATTCTACAATATAATGAGAGATGAGAGCAGAAGACAGCAAGTGAGAAGGAGACAAACGAGACAGAGCGGACATGTGACATTTTCGCTTCGATTTTACATTTTGGTTATGTGATCCTCTTGTTTTGTTTAGTTGTCAATTTGTAAGCGAACAAATGACGATGGTACGAACATGGTAACAACATACACCGGGTGAGACGGTGACAGATGAAGGACGTGCACATTTTGATTGCTGTCACAGATATTGATTATTATCAAGTCAGAACGAAATTGTTACGATTTTGATTTTTTTTCTTTCGTTGTCTTCACCGCCGCAAAACATTCTACTTGCTCGGGTATTGCATTTTTATCTTCGATTGGATCGAAAGACAATTCGTATCCAATGAATGTGGTTATTTGGTAGTGATATGCTTTTTCGTATTGTTCACAATCACTATACTTAACCGATTCAAGTGAAACAAACAAATAAACAATTGATTTTATGTGGAATGAACACTTTGGATTTTAGAAGTGTTGATGTTTAAAAATTCAAGCGAAAAAAAAGTCAATATACAATGGAATCAAGAGAGAAAATCCAATGAAATTGTAATTAACACTCGGGTCGTGTTAAAAACAAATACAAATGAATTTATCTGTTTTTGTGCAACATTTAAACGCTTTATAAATAAATATCTTCGTTTGCCAATTTAAACAGTATGAATTAACTTCGCGCATCTCAAGTGCACGACCAATTTTTCAAACTCGCAGTTAACTGAATAAGAACAATGGCATTCATTTTTTTCTGTACAAATATATATATTTATAAGAAGATAAAAATATACTTTGCTCCCAAGTAAAATCTCGGTGACTGCATTTCGAGTTTTTCGTCTTGAACTCGACAAAAACTTTGCAAAAAAACATGTTAATGGAACTGTTGTAAAATACATTGAACTGAAACATTTGCCGGCGCATTTGAATGAATAAACCATTGTTTGCAATAGTGCTTATGATTTGCTTTGCTTTGTTTCGTTAGCAACCATGTCAATTCTGAAAGTGGTATGCACGCTCAACATGGGAATATGAACGGATGTGATTCACGCGCAAATATAATATGTGCCAATGTAAACGAGATGAGTGAGTGTGTGTGTGTATGTGTTTTTAATTAATAATTACAATTTGAAAGTGAGTGCGATGGAATTAAAACCAGCGTAAAATTGGCTCGTGTGTTGATTGCTTTAATCTAACTCATATATCATTTTCATGTAGTATCATCGACCGTGCAACAAAAAAAAGAGTGTATTGCGTGCACGACACCATTCGCAGAAGCTCAATTCACATGTCAATTCAAACAGTAGTTATTTTCGATTTCATCTTGAATTTGTGCAATATAAAATTAAATAAACAACTACCATACAGAAAATATTGAAATATCACGCATTCGCTTGCCTCACGTTTCACTATATAATTCAATTAACATTTGTCTTTATACATTACACACACGCACACACACACAATTGAGACATCAATGCTTTTTACTCACGATATTCAACGATTTGTCGGATTTTGACATTACACTTCAACGGATTTAGCGTGCAAATTATAAACCCGCAAAACCCACATTTCAATGTGAAGTAGCATTAAATATGTATAAGCCACAAGATGCAGTGAATTTTAGTGGAAGTGCTCGAATTGAGAACTTGAATTCAATTAATTTTGTGAATCACCTGTTTAGCGGTTTTTTCTCGTTATTCTTTTGCGTCTATTCAATTTCGACGGAATACATTGTAGCATGGTAAACAATTGAGGCTTCCCAAATTGACGTCAATCGTTAAAAGAATTAATTGCCAGAACTGGTTGAACACGAAGCACTACACACTTACGATAATCACATATTCGGATGATTGAAATTCAATTCGCGTGATGCGATGAAAATTTATGCTGGGAGCTTTGAAGATATCTATTACTCTTGCCAGTTTTTTTCCTTTTTATGAAAACACAACGAATGGAAATGTGAAAAAAGGAAAAACTTTGCCTCTTAGCATAAATTTGATGTAAAGGCGTAAAGATGGTCAATGGTTTTGAGTTAATTAACAATTGGAGTGGATGTTTATCAAATTGCTTGCCACAAATGTCACGATTCGAAGATTCGGGCAATGAATGAGACACACGAGGCGCCTGTGGATGTGGACTTTGGCAAATATCAACATTAGTGGTATCAAGCACTGGCGTGAAAGAAAATGCTGCAAAAAAGCCAGTGCCCACGCACACAACAAGAGAAAGAGAGATGGAGGAGGGCAAAAAAAAAATAATGTAGCGCACAATGAACTGAATATTTATCAAATGGACACATCTCGCCAACGTAATTCCATTTGCGACACACAGTCCATACATACTAAAATGAACGATGCCAACGATATGCACTGAATAAAATAGGAAAAATAACAAATTTTATGGTAGAATAAAATAAACGCGCTAAGCCGTTGAATGGAAAAAAGGAGCAATGAAGATTGAATACATATACAGAGCTGGTGATTTTATACACATTCACATTCATTCACACACTCAAACGCACGCATCAGAAATTAAATAAAAACAAATTTTTAATTAATTTTTTTTTCTTTATCTTTGGCGTGCGATGGATGTATTTTTTTATTTGGTGTGTGAGAGAGCTAGTGCGAGCTGAGCAAAGAACGCATGAGAAAGAAAAAGAAAAAAGTACATTTGCCCATGAGAAATTGTTTAAATGGCATTTAATTTGAGTATTTTTCGAGTTGAAAATGGTTTCTCTCTTGGCTCAACGTGCTTTTCTCGTGCATCATTGTTTTGGTTAATGTTCATGGAAATTCTTTATTTATCATGCCCATTTCTCTCACTCTTATTCTTTTTTCTCTTCAATTATGGTTTAGCTCGTGAAAAAAGCGCGCCGCACATTTTGATCTCGCGCACACATACGACGACTTATTTTGTGTTATGTTTCTGGCATAGAAGTTTATGTTCTTTCGAGCGCAATGGCAATAAAGTGGATAGAACACACAGCGAGCACATTTTTCCTTCGAAGCATTTGAATGAAACCGTACAAGAAAAAAAATACATAACACAAAATAATAGCCAAAGGGATAAAAATCCGAAGGGCAAAACCAAGCAAAAGGAATTTTTTTGCTGTTTGCCTTCAAAAATGCTTCGCCGTTTAAAACAACAGAAAGTGAATGGCAAAACTTTTAATTTATAAAATGCGGTTTTTCACCTCCTCTCTGGTGCCTCCGTCGTACCCATTATTTTGGCAAATGTCCATCGTCGGAATGCGTTCGGATAGGTTTTTGTTGTCTAGTCGCTGTTGATCTGTTTTAATCATCATGGCGGTTGTCGTGGTATAGCATTGAGATAAGTACAAAAACCGTCGTACTTACAACAGCACCAGTATAAATGAAAAAATGCGCGCAGATAGACATAAAAAGCAATTAAAATTCCTCTTTTTTATTCCATCCTCTATCTCGCTACTTTGAAACACAAGAAACGTTTAAAACTGTATTTTGGTTGTTGTGAGATCAACTAAAATAAATGTTGAAAAAAATGAATCCCACAAACAAAAGGGTATGCATCAAAGCAGATGCAAGAAACGATTTTTAATTGTAAAAGATTTTGGCGAATTAAAATAGAATTGTTTAAATGTTTGGTGCGAATTTTTCGAGGTAATTTTTCAATTTGAATTCTACCGGAGCGTGAATAACGAAGCACACTCAAACCACAAAAAAAAAAAATATAACAGATTCATTTTGACAGAATGTAAACTAGATACAAGCATAACCATTTTTTTACAGACAGACTTGGCATGTTTGCGATTTTGCAGAAGCCACATGATAAAAATTCAATTAAACTCAACACTCACCTGTCCCATGTTGCTGAATCCATGTTTGGCCGCAATGCTGTCGGCTATGTTTACGCCATTTGGAATGTAGACGGCAAATTCGTTTTGATAGATTGGCGGACGTTTCAATTTACGACCACCACTGTTGCCATTCTCAATTTTGCTAAGAAATCTCTCAAATTCAGCATCATCCGTTACATTACTAAAGTATTCAATGTCAATAATTGGCAATTCGTCACCGATTTGATTCACAACATTCGTATCGTAAGCAGTTGCTCTTTCTACTGAAGCTTTCGAATCAGCATTTGAAATATTATTTACACTATTATTATTATGATAAATACTATTAAAACTATCCCTGCTACGTGCACCATTCACTGTTGTCATTTGGTCATGTGATAACAGTACGATAAAAAACAAAATGACCGCATTAAATGAGTGCGGCATTAGTGTTCGTTGTTGTTGATGGGCGATCTTTTGATGTGGCAGTCGCTTCGTCGTCGACATATCTGATTGGTGTGTGTGGTATAGGCGGCGACCTTTCCATCTTGTTCGATTGTGATTACGATGTTTTGCTTGTGCAGCACATTGACCTTGGTCAAATGTTGCATTTCTGTCACTTGTTAGCGACTTCAGTTGCTGTGACATGCTCTGATAACATCTCTCTATCGATACACTATCGGCAAATTCACTAAATTTTTTTGGTACATTATCTAAGAAATTTGAAAACAACATTATCACCCAGATCAAATACAGACCACTTTATCTGTATTTTTCTTTTTGGAGAGATTTGTGACAATTTTAAATGCCTTCTTGTTATTTTATGATTTTTTTTAAATTGTATTTTTTGTTTTATTCAAGTGTAAATTTTCGGATCAACATTTGTGGTGGATTTTTTTTATCGAAATAAAATCACAATTTTTTTTAATCTCAAACACAAGCAAAAATCACTGATTTCAACAAAAAAAAAACTAAAAGAATTAACGTATATTCACAGATGGTTGAGTGTTAATTATGGAATAGATGCGGTATTAAAGATAATTTTTGTGTTAAATTCATGTCTGATACACAACAGATGATCACACTTTACCGGTCTGAAAAGAAAACAAGAAAATATTATTAGAAAATACAGTGTATATTGAAATAAATTCAAATTCGTCTCATCTTCAATGGTGAAAGTATATTCAAATACAAGTTATACAGTCCATTATCACTAATATTCTTAATGAATTTACTTCCTTAACTAAAACACAAAACGGAAATAACAAATGGTCCTAAAGTGAAATTTCATGTTTTTGAAGAACAAATCAACGTCCAAAATGAAGAAAACCCAAAACACATTTAATGCATTTCCATCCATAACTATTATCTCCATTCTCCATTGCAACGAAAGAATGGAAAACAGTTTCAGAGGGTGACCGCATCATGGCAAGCGTGAATACTGAATGAAGGGAGAATATTGCATTCGGTATCGAAATTTTCTCTATTTCAGAAGAGAAATAAATTAATGAAAGCATTTCAACTCTTCATTTTTCAAGAGTCTACACCAAAAAAACTGCCATCAAAAAAATTGTGCACATTTTCAGCAATCAGTTTTTGTATATAATTAAAAGTTATCGAAAACAAAGTAGAACAAAACGTTGGCATATCAACGGGACATGAGAAAAATCGGCTCAATATTTCAATGAAAACAATCTCATGTATTTTCATTGACAGGTGCTTCCGTTCAGTTCAGTGCAACCTTTTAATTAGAGAATGTAATTTATTAGCAGTTTATCAACGTTGCCAACGTCAATAGGGCCTCCTCGAATGAAATATTATCTGACTCATATTTCTAAAAGGGAAAATTCAGGTTGAATTTTTTTTAATTAAATACTCGTTGAAACATTGCATTGAAAACACTCCATTGCTTTCATTCATACATCTGCAACACAGATACAAACACTCAAAATCATTGATAAATGGAAAATTCTTGTCTCACATTTACTGTATGAAGCTTCAAATTAACAGATTTCCTCAATTAAAAAATATGTTTCTCACACGAAAATAGAATAAGAGAAGCAAGTGGAAGAGAGATAGGTCTCGTCTGCCCAAGCAGAGTGACGTTTCAACATTGTGCTACGGTTGGTTATGCTAAATGTTGACGTTGATATTTTCCTTCTGCGTTTAGTTCAATTTCATTTTCATTCTTCAATATTGACACGGTTTGGACAAATGGATGGTGAAAATTCGCAAAGGTTCTATTTGACGCCAGTTTGAATTGCACGTTCTTTCATTTCCGCCACGAACTTGTGAATATTGTTTTCATTTTGTTGCTTTTGAAAATTTCGCTCACATTTTGTTTTTCTTGTGTTTTTTTCCTATGTTTTTTAAAAAAAGTGGTATACCTCTTTGTTGGACTTTCTCAGCCCAATCGTATACCCTTTCTCATGTGCCAGTTGTTTCTATTTTTGTTTTAAAAAAAACTCCAAGCGGATTGTTGAGATATGTTGCCTCTCTCAATTTGGACATTTTTTTACTGCCTTGAAAGGAGACTTGATGTTTTTCATTCATATGAAGCACAGCGGTGTCTAAACCAATCGCTATTTTTTTTTTCATTGTTTTTTTTCTAGTTGTTTGCAAAGAAAATTATTGTGAATTTGAAGCATATCCACGTTGAAAATAATCACAAAGCTTTCAGAGAAAATTTCGGGATTTGTGTGTGTTGCCATCGTAACCACAAAATATCTACATTTGACTGTTTAAACCAAAGATAACAATATTGCAATCCATTTCGATGCGAGCATTGGATGTGGCTCACATCAAAAAATCTCGGTGAATGTGGTCTTGTATTCACTTTTGGTTTGTGTTCTTCTCTGATTTTCTATATTATTTATAGCTCTTTTTCCACAGTTTGCTCATGTACGTTCCATGTTTTTTTCATGCATTTTCTTCCTTAGTTGAAGTTTTTCCTTTGCTCATCTGCTCTGTCTCTTGTATGATTTATTGTACATCAGAGCAACGAGAAAATTCATTTTTAATAAATTTTTCAACAAAAATGTATGTTGATGGTTCTGTGATTTTATAAATATAATTCAGCATCTATTTCACCGATTTTGTTTCCATTCGAGCGAGAAAAACATTAACCAAGCGCAAAAGAAATCATGGTCAGTTGAAGATGGGGCCAAAAATGAGCGGAACTCAATACTGGTTGCTCAATGAAATGCAACCGAATTTTTCGTAGAAATACATTCCGGAGAGTACGAATGAAACGAACCACAAACAAACAAGAAAACCACTCGAAAGTCATCAATGTTTATGAAATATGCGGTCGTTCAACCCTCAAGGATGAAAAACGGATGAATTAATGCAGCAGCGAAGAACAGATGACTAATGTGCACTTTTTTTTATTCATACAGTCAAGTTGGCCTGAAATATTATCTCCTTGCGAATAAAAAATGGCGGACGTTTTCTTTATTTAAAGGAAAAAAAAAATAAAACTTGCAATTCGATGCGATGAGTTTTTGACTCCTTTCATATTTACACCCCAATAAACAAGACGCAACGACGACGATGTAGAAAATCGTATATAAGGAAAATTTTGATGCGCGAACTCCAAGAGGAGAATGCAAATCGTGCCAATTATATTTCGTTCGAGTAAAAGTATGAAATTCTTCGTTGAAATGATTTATTATTATCGTATACATTCTTTTAGTGGTATCTTTTCTGTTTTTCTCTTTTCAATTAAAATCTTTATGGCCAGCTACAATTATTTGCACACCGACATCTTTTTTTTATCCTTCTGAAAACCAACAAATTGAAGTATTCATTTAATTACATTCTGCTCAAGTTACAGGAATGAAATTTTGTATGTCAAAGTGATTACAATTCGTTCAATTTCAATTCCATGACTTCCGCATGAATCAGTAGGAAATGTGACGGTTCTACAGTGTATTTTAGTGAAGAGAAAATTGCAAACGTACTGTAAAATACGATATGCCATCAATCATCGGAATAGCAATGCCAGTGAAAAATTCTTACTGTAAATTTTGATAAAAAAAAATACACCGGAATTTTCGCTTGCTTCAGCCAGCGTCATTTCACAGAATCATGTTTCAAAAGATGCTTTCATGATGAAGCGTTACCAGTACCACTCTACGGAATGTACGTTTCTTTTTCCATCGTTCAAAAGAATTAATAAAACAGGAACGACGAATGCGGGTGCACCAAAGCTGATACAAGATCGCGTTGAACCATCAGCAGAATGAGAGTAAAGTGCAAAAAAGGTGTCAGACGCTAATTTGAAGTTGATCGATTGTTTGCCAATTATTCACTGGGCGGCTGATTGATGCTAGATTTGGACCCCCTCTCGTAAATGGATTGCATTCTAATTTATTACATTTAAATAGCAACAGAGGAACTGCCATTGTGAATAAGTGTTATATGTATTACTAGATAAAATATGCCGTTCGGCCATTTTGTTGCAAATTGATCAATGTTTTAATACTAAATATACATTTGAAATGGTGCACATTAACGAAAACACAGCGAGGACTTTAGATTATATTTTTCACGTTTAAAACTCATCTACTTGGAGGTAACAATATGGATAAGTGTCAATACAATCAATGCTCATTACGAAGCGATGTTTATGTATGAATACACAAAGTCACAAACTTTGCTGTCATTGGCAGAAAGGGAAATGAAAACATAATAAGATTTTGATATTAAAATGAAAGACGAGTGAAATGAGTGCGACCGTTCCTATTTGGCATGAATAAACAAAAATAAATGAAAATATAAATCTTGGATTTATTGTGTGAACGCTATTTACAAATTGAAAACGGAAATTGAGGTCAATAAATTACTATTATGTTTTCTCATTGCATCCATTTACTTTCGAAGAAGTTCCTGTCATAATTTGTATAATTTATTGGATTGAAAGGGATTTTCTTTTACGAACAAGCAAAACAAAAGTCAAGCAAATAACTAATGGCTTAATGCAAGTGAATGCGATCAATATATATTAAATTCTAATAAAACCTCGAACATACTTTGTGCCAACTTTCACAACACAAACTCTATAAACTGGGATGTAAAGTGGAAGGAAGTGGAATTCGATGTAAACAATATATACATTTATTACAGCATGGATTCGATAAAAATTATGTTGAATATATATATCACAAGAAAGTGGAACGTATTTTACCAGAGATGTAGGTCAAGATAATACCAATTATAATTGCCAGTCGGTCGAAGTTTAGGAATATTGTCGCCACACTCATTTAAGAAGAACTCTAATAGCTGTATCGTTTGCTGTGGAAAACTTTACTAACTCACTGCCGATCCAAGTAAAGGAATTGAGTTTTCAAAGGAACCGAAAAAAATGTTTGATACACTCGCACGAAAGTTTCTTTTAGGTAAAAAAAATCGAAAATAAAGAGTCTTACGGGAGTAAGACGAACTTTTCCGCACGGTGGTAGTTGCGTATTTTATTAAGAAAGTTCAAAATAACATTTGTTCGATTTTTCAAGCCATTCAAGCGGCGTAAAGTTCGAGACCAAAAAATATGTTTCAACTTTGGCAACGAAATATTCTTTAATTTAATAGCAGAAGTAGCCAAAAAAAGATTTTTCACACTTTCATGATGAACCCATTTGTACGACATTTGAAAGTATTCTATTTTCTAACAAAACACTATAAAAAATATGTCTGACGTTAATTTTGCCATAAAAATTATTTTTGAAACACTTTTCATAACTAAAGTCACAAAAAATTTGAGGTATTAAGAGTACCTCAGCCTTTGAGCCAAAAACTGAAAATGTTTGGAATGGAGGTACCCCTAATTTTGATTGAAATCTCTTCAAACTTTCAGAATGTTATTTTTTTGTGTAAAAAATAGTCTGTGCAAAGTTTCACGTCATTAAGGTAGCATACAGGCATGGCTTCCATACAAAAATTCAATTTTTTTGTGATTTTTTCAAGAAAACTGTATCAAAAATTGATTGTATCTCAAAACTAACGTCGGATTCGGTTTTCTCGTGCCAAAAAACCCCTCAATACATATTTTTGAGTGTTTAAGTCTTCATTAAGTATGACTTTTGGACGAAAATTGGAGTCTTTTTCATAGGTATCACTCCAGGCATGAAATTTTTTTCCATCAACCAAAGTCGCTCAAAAGCTAAGGATTTCTATTCCTCGGGACCCCCAATCATCCTGTAAAGTCAGATTTTGAATTAAGTTTCTACGACGAGCGCAATCTTGCTAACAAATTTTGCGTACGACGAAATTTTGACCGATTACAATACTTTTCACCTTACACTATGTGTGCGGAAAAGTAAAAACGGTTTAATCTACTTTATGCTCATGATTTTTCATTTTTTTTTACTTACAATTTTTAATAGTTTCACTATGCTGTTTTCCAAAATCTTTAATGATTGCAGTTGTTCAACCATGAATTGATTTCGAGGAACTTGTGATTAAATATGGTTCGTCGTTCAATCTGAAAAGAAAAATTAAATGATTTCAATTAATATTTTTCTTCTTCAGTCGGTTGGGAATTGTTATTATTTTGACTCGGAATTGTTTGTTCAATATCATTCACACTCAATACGAATCAAAGCAAATACTCAATTTCAGTGATTGTCATGGTAAGCTGTATGACGAAATGCATTGTTTTTTTAAACAAAAAAAACATCGTTTTTATGCTTACATATAGAAGTCACATGAGCATATATCATGAAAGAAAGTTGAACAAATTGATGAAAACGAATCACAATCAGTTGTTCAGTAATTGTCAACTCTTTAACGTATTGCGTGTCTTTTGTGAATCATTTATAGAAACATGCACATCATAAAAATTGATATAAAAAGAATTTGCTATTTTTAGCGTATACTATTTGGTCTTTGACGTATTTAATTTTCGTCTTAACCAGAAAATAACAATTACGCACATAGACCGTAATAAATGTAATCAAATTTAAACACAAAAAAGTCATCCCACGGCAGATTATGTTGTGTGACGATATAGTTCCACTGAGCAATTGACGCAATCTAATCGGTTTGCGTACATAATTACTGATGAATGCCAATAATTAAGTTGTTAATATTGAAATGAAGCTAAAATTGTTTCGTTCATATCGATTTTGTCGTTAAAATATAACAAAGGAGCCTTCGGTTCATCTGTGAATACTAATTTTCCGGATTGAACGATTTGTAGGCGACGAATGAGTTTTTATAGCACGCGTCTTTTGCTTGGTTGCAGAATTTATAACGCAAATATCCATTCTTCATGGTTGTTTCTATGACAAAATGACTGGTTTGACATTTTTCCATCTAAAAAGATGCGTGAGCGTAAAACGTGATTTAATTAAAGGCAAATGTGGTGAAAAAATACTTCAATCTCTCAATAATACTGTATGTCATTTGAACAAACTGTCAATCCAAATTGCATTTCATCGAATTACTCAATGTCACTTGCATGCAAGTTTAAAATTAACAAGAGAAATTCAATTTTGTGAAGGAGATTTAGCTGCTTTGAATTTGCATTGAAACCTTTGTGTATTACATGTTTTCATTACATGAGCTAGTACAAATACCATTTTCTGATTTAGGATAGTCGGATTTCGTTTCTTTTTGATATTTTTTTGTCCAATGAAATGTGTGTGCGTTTTCACTTTAAAGCCTCAAATTATCAAGCATTTACTGAATACATCAATTTCTCGGATTCATTCAAGCATGGCATGATGCTTTTTAGGGCGAAGAAAGTTTTTTGTTTGCTTTGTCACCAATTAAATGGAAGATCCTAAGAGAAACTAAATTAGTGACTTTGATTTCATTATTTCATCAAAGTACCAAAGAGATGAACGAGAATAAAATATGCGACTGACTATGAAAATAATACGATCATTCGATATTACATCATTTTAAGCGAATGTTCTTTTACAAGCCATTGAAACTGCTTCTCGCTGCATCTCAAATGACATATTCCTAGAATTGTAATAAGAAGTTGGAAAAATGCTTTTACAGTATATATCAAATACAAAAACGAAATCTTGTAAATATGTCTTGTTCAAAAATCACAAATTTCATCGTTCAAAAGATAACACTATTATCAGCCTTTACAGCGAGATAACGATGTTTGATTCCCTATGAATATGCAATCAGTTGAATTGTATATTGTTTGTCACATAGATTTTTATAAAAATCGTTATCATTTTGATGAGAGTCTTCAAGGAGCGATACGCACTGGCAGTGACTGGATCCAGAAATTATTTGACTACTCTAAACTTTAACCAAATATGACCAAATAAAATGGTTAGTATTATGAGATTTGATGATGTGAGAGCATTGTTCTTCACTGCCATAGATAAAATGCTTTATTATATGCAACGAATATAATCAATTTATCGGATGTGAAGTCATTATAATTCGAATAGACTCGTTGCTCAAAGAGATGTTAAATTGAACAATGCACAAGTTTGTGTGACAGTATCCCATAAAGAGTTGTCTTTTGTATCCGAAAAGGATGAATAATGAAACATCATCAAAACCTTTATTATTATCGACACGATAAATGTGTATGTTGGGTTTTGTATGTCAAAGAATGTGCTAAAAATGAAAGCACACACATTTTATGCACAAACATCAAATCTGATTTGTAATCTGATGTTGATCAAAGAGGTGCTTTGGTTCGTATATAGTTATGTTCTAATCATATCATCTGTCTAAACCATCAAACCTAAAATACATACAGCAAATGCGGTACTGTTTGATGGTGGATATCCTGTTTATGTTCGGCAGTGGAATGAAGAGATTTCAAAAATGATACATCCATGACAAATCCTTTCAATGCTTGTTCCAATGTAAAACACCGGATCTCATTCTGAATTCGTGTAACAGAATCTTATTTGTGACTCACAGCTTTTGAGCATTTTTTTCTACCATTGATCGATGTCGATGGCCTCAAACGAATTGTTTTTTTAAAACCATAAATCAACAGTGTAACCATTGAATTTTGTTATTTATGGATCCATTCGTGAAAATAATAATTATTAATCGATGTTACATTTTCAATCAAATTATTAACTGTAATTTCAATAATCAGCGACATTCTCACAACCATAATTTAAATTCCAATTATGCATCGCATCGAACAACGGTATGTCTGCGCGCACATTTTATACTGTAATTACATTTATAATACACACACTGTTTTTGGCGTATACATTTTTCACAATTTTATCAATATTTGAACATTGACATTTTTATCACATAAATCATATCAAAAAATAGTGCCCCAGAGCTGTGCTTTTGACTATTTCAATGAAAATGACAAACAATATTTGTGGCAAATAAAATATGGGGCGAGATCATTATAGTGAGAAAATATTGACACAATTTTAATTGCAAACAAAATTATAACTGATTATTCGCTTTCCAACACGTATAATTTAACTATAAAATCGATTATGTGTTCTTTGTGAAATGTTGCATATTTTCTACACTTCACACGCACAATGAATTTACATAATTTGTATATTTGTTTCTATTTCATACGTTTTTTTTGTTTGCATCGAAAAAAAAATTATGGAAAAATCGTGTTGATCGCCGTAAAAGCATAATAGTGTCGTTTCAATGCTTTATATGTTTATTTCTATTACTACAAGGGTTCAAGGGTTGTGATGCATTCACAAAATACACTTAACGCTTGTTATTTCCATTACATTATCATATTTTATGATATGACAATGCATAAGAACATTCCACACCATGCACACAGATGCAATTGCATACGCGCGCAGCTTTATTATTAGTTTAACCGAGAGAATGCAAAATAGAAGAAAATACAACAACGAAAAAAAAACAATATGAATGGGAAGAGATGAAAGAGCAAAAGTATCTTAAATGAAGAATTATGAAATATATAAATCCAATTTGATGTAGAAAGATCATGTTTGTCTCTTCTTATTCCATTATATCATTTTCGTTCACCCGCGTTCACCATATCATGCAGTACATCGTGTCATGAATTCATTGCATCAACACTAGAAAAGGAACACATTTTGCGTTTTTCTTTTTCTCGGAAGCAAGCACAGAGTGTTGTCGTAAGCAATGATTTTATGGATTTTGCTGCTTTTATTGCGAGCAAGAGAGTGAAGTAATTCTGAAATTATATGGTTTCCGCAAAAGAATGAGTCGCATTTGTTAGTTGTAAACAAAATCGAATTTGAAAAATATCTATATAAAATACCGGCAGCACTTCTTTTTCTCTCGACATTTTTTCCCTTCACGATATCAGCGTCAAACATCATAGTAAATATACACGTCAATGTAAGAGCTTATAAAATTGTAAGCGAAACTAAATTGAGTTTGGGTGGTTGTGTGTAAGTTGTTACAATGTCTCGTTTTCAAATTCACACACAGAGAAAAGTTATATTCATAAAAAAAACTTTTAGCCACACTTCAATATACAATGATCATTTTCTTCGCATTACCCGTTTTTAAAGCGACACTTAATGTGCGTTCATTTCCCATCGTTGGAATGAAATGCCGAATGTTTTCGAATGAGAAGGCGGGAAATATCATTGCTAATACCTGTGTGTGTGTGTGTGTGTGTGTGTGTGTGTGTGTGTGTGTGTGTGT